CCCCCATTATAGAAAGGACGTGGACGCATTGGAAAGGGGCCAGCGGAGGGCAACCATAACGATTAGGGGGCTGGAGCACATGACCTATGAGGAGAGGCTGAGGGATCTTGGCTTGTTTAGTCTGCAGAAGAGAAGAGTGAGGGGGGATTTGAGAGCAGCCTTCAACTTCCTGAAGGGAGGTTCCAAAGAGGATGGAGAGAGGCTGTTCTCAGTGGTGGCAGATGGCAGAGCGAGGAGCAATGGGCTCAAGTTGCAGACGGGGAAGGTCTAGGTTGGAGATTAGGAAAAACTCTTTCCTTGGGGGGGGGGGGGGGGGGGAGGGCACAGAGGTTTTTAAGTCCCAGCTTGACCAAGCCCTGGCTGGGATGCTTTAGGGCTTAGTCCTGCCTTTCGCAGGGTGTTGTACTCGAAGGCTCCTGAGGTCTCTTCTAGCCCTAGGATTTTAGGATTTAATTCCCTGCAACCAGACAGGCCAGAGGGTTGCAGTCTGTGGGAGACGACACTGTTGCATGCCACCAGCAGAGACCAGGGTGTGCCAGTTCCCTGGGCCCTGCAGTGGGCAGAAAAGCAGAGGACGGCAGGGGTGCAAAAGGGCATTCTCCTGGGAATGGCAGAGCAGTGACCCCTAACCTGCTCCATAGAGAACAATCCAGCCGCTAGCTCCGTGGTTCTCAAACTGTAGGTTGGGAGCCCAGCGGGGTCAGGGCCTCATTTTAATGGGCTCACTAAGGCCAGCCTTAGACTTGTTGGGACCCAAGGCTGAAGCTGAAATCTGGGTGGAGCTCAGGCTATGGCCCCCAGACCTCCACCTGGGGCTGCAGGGCTCAGGCTCTGGGGTCAGGCAGTAACTCATGTCAGAAGGGACCAGGGGGTCCCAGCGCAATGCAGTTTGAGAAATGCTGGAGCTGAATGGACTATGGTAGAATCTACCTGGTGTGTCTTCTACACTTCTCTGCTTGCCTAGAGAGCATCAAAGGGAGAGCGGAGCCAGCAGAACTGGTTGGCATCATATCACGGGGGTTTGAAAAAGCCCTCTGACAAAGTCCTTCCCCCCTGCACCCAGGAAGCCACACTCTTAAAAAGAAACAAGTTTTCATATGTAGCCTGTGGAACTCACTGCTACTGGACACCACTGCGATAGTCCTCTCTTCCCAAGGCTGCCTGCATACTGACCCCCTCATTACCAGCCCCACCCCAGAGCAATGAGTTAAATGGAAACCTCCCCTCCCCAAAAATGATTGGCGTTAAGGACCAGGTAAATCTTCTCCTATGTGATGATAATGAAGCAGGAGGTGTTTATTTTGTCCCCATCTGGTGGCTGGGCAAATGGAATAAGAGATGTATCGTTTGACTCAGTTAGACGAGTGCCCGTTAGCTATGAGGCGGGTGTCTGGAACCAAAGACCTGCACTCTAGTTTTGGCTCCCCAGGGTTTATCCAGGATTGGGAATTGCATCTGTCATCTGCAGCCACGGATCTGTTATAGAGAGGCATCGTCAGCAAACGGTAAATTCCAGCCATGGACAAAAAGCTCTGGAATTCGCCCCTTTCCTTTTCCCTCCTGCTCGTCTGGCTGCTGTAAGGTCAGGGCCGTCGTCTCCAGATTTTGGTCTTCAGGGGACTGAGAGCAGGGGGATAAATGTCACCCCAGATGGAGGAGGCGGAACCAAGACGATTGGTGGGGCGGGAGGCCGTCTCTGGAGAGGGCCTCATTTGTTAATCAAGTCACGGCAGCCAAATGGAATGCCGCCAGCCATCTGTGTCTCCCTTCCCGGGCTTTGTGCTGTCGTCCCATTGAAGCAACTCACGGGGGCCGTTGGTTTTAATCGGCCTCAGCCGCCAGCCAAAGACGGATCCCAGGACACTCCCATGTCATCCTCTGGCATTGTACAGTGCTGGGAAATCCCTAAACCCCGTCCCTCTGTAAAACGCCCCCAAGCCAGCACTTACAGTAACAGGAGGGGCTTATGGCTGGCCATGGGGGGGACCGAGCCTTTCCCGCTAGGCCACTGTTTTAAATAAATGGAGTGGCCAAATCTTCCGGAGTGTCTGAGATCAATGGGGAGCCGCTGGGGATCTGGGGGTGTGACAATCTGGCCTTCCTTGGCAGCATCCATCAGAGAGGATAGGGTTGCCATGGCAACTCGCCTACCAGCTGACCCCTCTGAGTGGCAAGGTTGAGGCATGTTGGTGGGAGGGGATAGTACCTGCTCAGAGGAACATTTGCAAAAGCACCCGAGTGATTTAGGCACCCGCATCCCATTGACTTTCAGTGGGATTTGGGCACATTTGGAGCTTCCCCTTTTCGGTATAAAGGAAGCCAGCCAGAATTGCACCCTCTGTGACGTCCAACTGAGGCTGTTTCACAGCGATTCCTGCAGGCATTTCCATTGCGGGGGTGGGAGGGAGAGGTCACTTGCCCCAGGGAGAAAGCTTGTCCCTTGTGCCTCCACCCAGTACGGGGCATGGCCTGGTGAGTGTGTCCAGTTGCACGAGCCGCCTACCAGAATGGGGTGTGCACACTTGTTAGGCCAGCGTGCTAATACCACGTATCACTAGCAGCTGGGCCGAAGCCTGTGGCAGGAAGGGGAGGTGCAGGAAGATGGCAAGGATGCATGTGTGAGTGACACAGGCATTGCTCCTTAGTCCACGTGGATCTGAACGGGTGCCTATCAGTGCAGGCTGTGTGTGGGAAGATCCCTCTCCGCCGGGTGGGGAGAGGTTTGCTAGTCACCCACCCGCCTACACACCCCAGACTGGATACAGACGTTTTCTCTTCCCCTGTAGTTTTTTCCTTCCTTTTGGAATATAAAAGCCCAGGGGTGGCCTGTCCCATGTCTCTGCATGAATGTGACCCCCCCCCACCCCCCTTGCTGCAGGTTTCACTAAACCAAGTCCCGGGCCCAGTACAAAACCCCATCATAGCGATACTTCTAAGCCTTCTTACTTTGTGCAGAGAGCCCTGGAGAGAATGCTGTGTGTGTGTGTGTGTGCGCGCGCTCATGTGCGTGTCCGTGTGCGTGTGTGTGAGCGCGTGAGTGAAGCTAACGGACAAGACTGGCCCAAGAGCAAATGGCCATGAATAAATGTAGGCTTGAGATGGGAAGAAGGTTTCTAAGCAGCAGAGGGAGGTTCTGGAACAGCCTGGCAGAAAGAGCAGTGGGGTCAGACGGCTCAACGAAGTCGGACTAGATGCCCAACATGGTTCCATCGGGCTTTAAAATCTCTGAAGATGGAATCTGATAAACTTATAAGCGGGGTGATAGGACGGGGGAGTCTCAGCTACCCAGGATGTGTGCGCGCCCTGTGTTCTCACAACGCATCTCTCATTCCTGAGACATAGCAGGACATTACTAGCAACTTAGCATTGGATCATTGCGACCGGCTAGATGCTCTCCAAAGACAGCAAGTGACAGGCCATTCATCTGGGCATTGATAACTGCAGCTATGATTGTTTGCAGGGTTGTTGTAGCTGCGTTGGTCCCAGGATATTAGACAGACAAGGGCAAGGTGATGTCTTGTATTGGACCAACTTCTGCAGGGGAGAGACATGAGCTTTTGAGGCACCTGAAGAAGAGCTCTGTAATGGGCAGGCTCGTCTCTCTCACCAATAGCAGTTGGCCCAATGCAAAATGTTACCTCACCCATGTGTCTCTT